AGTGAATCTCCAACTGGCCAAACACAAGACCGAGGCAGTGCTTATTACCAGCCGAAAAGTAGTTGAAATAATCACGCTAAGAGTCGGAGACCTAGAAATCACATCACAGCCTCATATCCGATATTTGAGAGTGATGCTCGATGCTCGACTCAACTTTAAGCAACAAGTCGAACATGTGATTGCCAGAGCATCAGCAGTGGTAACTAGCCTAGCACGACTGATGCCAAACGTCGGAGGCCCAAAGGAGACCAGGAGGCTACTGCTGTCGTCAGTGGTTACCTCAGCGCTGACGTATGGAATATCAATTTGGGCCGACGCTCTCGACACTCAAGAGTCATTGAGGAAAGCTGGACCAGTATATCGGCGGAGTGAACTAAGAGTAGCCAGCGCCTTTCGTACAATATCTGAAGAAGCAATGTGCGTCATTTCCGGGACACTACCCCTCAGAATCCTAGCTGACGAACGACAGATCTTATACCAACGAAGAAAGTCTGAGAAACATTGAGCGCAGAAGAACTGAGAACAGAAGAACAGCAGCACAGCATCCCGCGATGGCAATTGCAGTGGGATGCCGCAGAAAAGGGCAGGTGGACGCATCGTCTAATACCAAGGATCGACGTCTGGCTTAACCAGAGTTACGGTGAAGTCAACTACAACCTTACACAGATGTTATCAGGTCACGGCTGTTTTCGGGCTTATTTACACCGCTTCAAGCACGATAATTCCCCGGAGTGCCCTTCCTGCCCAGGAGTAATTGAAAATGCGGAGCATGTTTTCTTTGAGTGCCCACGATTTAATTCACAGCGTGATCTACTCTAGAGTATCCTACACCAGAAGATACAACCAGAGACAGTAATAGAAGTAATGTTGTCATCAAGAGCCTCCTGGAACGCCATCAGCACATTTGCAACAGAAGTCCTCATAGACTTGCGTTCCACGAAAGAAAAAGGGCAAATGACAACAACTAGAAGAAAGGTAAAATAACACCTTAGCTACCAGAAGGAAGAGCAGTAGCTATATCCTCCCCCCACGAAGTAATGCCTAACGGCGGATACGGTGGGGATCAGAGATCGGAGGACAGTGGAGGTTTTAGTCGGTATTAGCATTGACAAGTCACCCTAAGTTAATGTTCGAGCCCGACATACCAGGCAAAACATCTAAGCCCGAGATATGTAAATGTATTTCCTTCGCTATACACACGACACACACACACACACACACACACACACACACACACACACACACACACACACACACACACATATATATATATATATAAACACAGACGTTACTCAGCCAATGATCGAAATAGATTCTTAGGAACCCAAAACATCAAAATCTGCAGAAAACAATAAATTTCCATTTTATGAAAATTTTCAATTTTCATAGCGAAAATTAAAAAAGTAATATTAAGATATTGTAGATTATGTATAAATACAATAAAATTAAATATGGCTACATGTTTATTTACAAAAGGAACTAGTTTAATGTAAATATTGTGCCGAATTTCAAGGGATATTCATAACCTATGTTATAAAGTTGTATTTGAATTTAAAATTGAATTAAGATGGTAGGTGCAGCGGTGCCATGCTGAGCATAGGTAAACAACAATGGTACATAATTATATACAAAAATAAACAATATAAGTAAACAACAATAAATATATCAATCCAATGCACATATTGTACATTTATGATATTGTTTTTCAGTGCCCTGACAAAAACAGTTGATAATAAATTTGACAATAGATTTTATATCTTTTAAATAGTTATCCATAAAGAAGGTTAGTAACACATAGCACAAGGGTTCCAAAATGCAAATAATTCAAACAATACGATTAGACAAGTAGCTAGCAGAGATTTAAAATTAAGTTTAATTTTTAAATTCATACGGTAATATTTTCCATATTTCAACATTTTATATTTTCTGCACGTTAAAATATCTTTAAATTCATACACAGAAATAATCTTAAAAATTTAGCTATTTCTTAAATATGACCTGTGTAAGCAACAACACTCATCCTGGTCCGTTCGTCTGGAGGCGACCACTGGCCGAGCAGGGTGTGGTAGGAGGGCAGCAGGCAGGCCTGCGCCAGGCCCATGACGGACCGAATCGCACACACCGCCATCCAACCACCCTATGTAGTGCGCCGATTGATTGGTAATTTTATTGTAGTTTATATTAAAGTGATCTGATTTTCATATGGTTAATATAATTCTATCATGATCAACGAAATCGAAAAAATAATAGTTTTATTAATAAGGAGAACGTTTTTCTCCGAATATTTGAACATGTATATATTTATACATGTTCAATTATTTGAATTGTTTTAAAAAATCAAACTATGCATCGTACTTAGCTAAGAATTACGTTATGATGTTTCAGGTATGTTAAAGTAAGTAAAGCAGTTGAAGTTCTTAGACAATTTTTTTGTACTCTAAAACTATATCTAAAATTACTAAACATATAACTAAAACATAACTAAAATCTATAATTAAAAGGAATTTGATGTTTAAAAATTATTTTTAGTTATTCAAAGTATTAAATAACTAAAAAGAATTTTTAAACAAAAATTACTTTGATTTCCATGATTTCTAGTACGTACGTATTTGGCGAAAGTGGGTAATGTGAGACATAACAATCCGCTGGCTATCAGTGATCCCAAAAGCAGTGGATGCCCACCGTATTTCTTAGCCAAGATACCAGCCGGTATTTGCAGAAGTGTGTAACCCCAGAAGAATGACGAGAGTACCATACCTTTGACGTTTTTGTCCCAGTCGTATATCTTAAATACAAGAAGAGATCATAAGATATAATGTTGATAGTAAGTAGGTAACATATACATAAAGACGCAATGATGTAATAATAAACCTCAACATTGGTGTTGTTTGTGGGCGTTGTCATAGCCAGCACGGCGACGCTCATGGTACTGCGCATCATGTATAACACGCAGCAGCACAGAAGGATCAGTAGCACTTGAAGATATCGGACACGTAGTAGAATAGAACATCGGACATTGCTGGATGCTGCTAGAATTTTGTTTTGTTACGTGTGTAGTAACTAAAATCATGTATTATAGCTAGTGATCAGTTAAGTTAATTAGTTATTTTGGGATTTGCTCTGTATATGTGCAATGGTTAATAATCATAAATTATGTTAAAAAAGCATGAATGTGTAAATCTTGTAGAAGCTCAATTTAAGTGTAGATTTTTACATGCTTTCGTATAAAAGATTTATGCACTTGTATACCGTGTGAACACCTACCGAAAGACCTATCGTTGTCCCATATAAAAGTTGCATCTATATAATCTCCTATTTTTAAACTTGTTTTGGCTAAACAATTTTCAAATTACACTAAAATAGAAATTAAAAAAAAATCGTGTTACCAAATACACTGAAAGGCCGAAGCCATAGATATATTAGAATTAATTTAGAGAAATAAAGTAATGTATGTGCACAGGTGTGGTTAATGCGCCAATCTTGTGTGGGTTTATTATTACAAATACACCATTAAGGTGACGTAGTAAAGACATGACGTAGCGCTTCGTAACACGCGTACACAGCGATACTGTATACTAAAACCTGCGGCGCGTTTGTATGTTTGTAAAGATCATATGCGACAAACAGTTTGATTTTTTTATCAGTCAACATCACATCGAAGCAGTTAGTTTAATTTATCAATTTAGTTCAAAAAGAAAAAGTTTTTTTAAATATTGCCTATGTTAGTGTACGTGTACTGTACGCGTACATTCCAAAACGTAATTAGTTCTTGTGCTTAAAGTTCAATATCGATCTTTGCAAGCTGCATCGAAAACGAAAAATTCGCAAAAAAAAATTGTTTGTAATAAATTTATAGTTCTCGTTGGGCTTATGTTTGGTACCAGTTATATTTTTTCTTAAATACTCCGTTGAATGTCACAAAGCAGATCAAAATCAAAGAACGCATTTGATAGATATCGCAGTTTAAAAATTGATTTAGATGTTTGAACTCAAAGAGCTGAAAACGTATTAAAATTATATTTTTGAGCTAGAGGACCTTGAAAAAGTACCTAAAATCAATTTTTTAAGCTAAAATTTAATATTTTACTACTAGGTTTATTTCTGAAGACTTTGAGCTAGAAAAAAGCAAAAAGTTTTAGGAACCGCCTAGAAGGTCAACCGTTTTTTTTTTGAACTTTTACGCTCGAAAAACTTAAAGATACGTCTTCGAGCTTTAAGATAACTATATTTCAAAAGTTGAGGAGTTCAAAAACACATTTATTGAAATCATAGCGGGAAATTTTAGGGATGGCCTGCAGGATCAATCATTTTAGAGCTTTTTTTTATCGGAATACGACGAATCAAATAAATGTTTAGTATTGTTTCCTGCGCATATTGTCCTAGAAAGAGGAAGTCAAATTATGTGATACATCTTTCGAAAAAGAAAAGCATAGAAGTATTCCTACATAAACAAAATGACCAAACGAAATTGGGTTCGTAGTAGGCATGGCATACGATATTGGCTTTGCCGCCGTACAGATTTTCACTATGTCTTCTTATTCTTTCTCTTTCTTTTTCTTCTGTTAAGATGTAACAGTAACATTCAAAATCACATATAAAAAGATAATATAATGTAAGAGATTTATTTGATTTAAAAATATGTCGTATATCCTCATTTACATTAGTACAAGTTATGTGCCACGAATGAACGTAAAATTTTCGACGTTATAATTCTACGTTTTTCATTTTTAATAGTTTCATCAGCACTTTACATCCTCAAAATACTAATGTCAAATTTTTCTGATGCGCTAAAAAAAGTATAACTTCAGTACAAGTCTTCAGAAATTCGTTTATATAAAAACATACAAATATATGAATTTACTACAGCTGAATATTTCTTTTACTACACGTTATATCGGCGCGTTACATGCTCAAAATATACTCTGTTAAGATTTTCCTAATGCGCCAAAAGAATTGTTACTTCAAAAAAATGCAACAATAAAAGTCAACATAAGGCTGTGTCCCCGAGTGGTTACCCATCCAAGTGCTAGCCGCGGCCGACGCTGTTTAACTTCAGTGATCGGACGAGAGCCGGCACACTGATCGTGGTGTGGACGTTGGCGATTGTAAACGTAAAAGACATGATTACTAGGAACTGATAAGCAAAAGTGTCACTTTTTTCTCTCTGGCTTTCATTCGCTAAGTGTCGTTCGGAGTGCAACGTGCGATAAGGAACTACCTTACAAAAATAAAGGATTTATCTACATTGCTTTATTGTTTGGTTTTACGCAACCAAAGAGACTCGGCGTGTGTCAATAACCGGTAGAGGTAAGAAAGGTGCTGTTTCGCTTTTTCGTTACTTTGAAAGACGCACCAACGTATATTAATTAACAGGTTAATATCGTTTTACTTTTATAACTCTGGCTACAAACTCAGATTTGAATTATCGCGGATATGACTGGTTTTGGGAATTTCATGCATTTTTAAAGGTTATACGATGAAAAAATCTGTACAAAAATTGACAATGCGTTTTTATATCACTCTATAAACTACGGCATTAAGTATTTTATCGACAAAGATGCCAAGATTGAAAGTCAGGATATTTTATATAACTCATATACAGCACATGGGAGAGATTTTACGTTTTTTGTAAACTCTTGGAAGTGTATGTAAGGAATACAAAAACACTGTTTTAAGATAAAATATTTTGTAACAATTTTTTTTTTCAACTGTGGTAATGAATATAAAATTAAATATTATAATGACAATAACATAGTGATTCTATTTATTTGTGTTAATTTCAATAATTAATTTTTGCCTCATACATTTTTATAAAAATAGTTTAAATTTTTCATGTTTATTTTTAAGTAAAATGGGATTAAAGTTACGAGTGCAAAGTAATACACCACTTTACTCACAAGCTTTCAAAAAAATCTTTCAATGAAGTGAATGCTTTTCAAAATTTCACCGAATTGGAGAGTAGTAGAGTGTGTTGGTAGCATGTTCGCATGAGGTTATCATAGCCTGCGATTTACTGATTAGCACAAATAATATCTGTGTTAAGCTTAAAAAAAAAAAAATACTTTTTAAATTAATTGTAAAATGTTAAGAATGCTCATTTAAGTATATGTAATTTTTTTTCATTTTAAATATGAATTCCATTTATTTTTTATTTCATTGAAACTAGCTTGAAATCGAGGTCGGAATTGAAATCGCTATTGTGACTGGCATACCAAAAATATAGGAATTGCGAGTGGAATTCGGTTTGGCACAGTGGGTGCTGGTGAGGCAGTACATGGCCGTTGGTTGTGTTTTAGAACTAGAACTGTGATTATTGTTTAGAAAAATAAAACTTTTATAATAAAATATAATCACAAATCTTCGAAACTCTTTTATTAGTAAAAAAACATTGATGTGTATTTAATACGAAATAGGGCAAGTAGTGATGAAGTGGTTTGTTTAGGGTTCCGTAGTCAAAAGGAACCTTTATAGTTTTTCCATGCCTGTTAGTCCGTTTGTCTCTCTATCCGCGATTTAGCTCAGAAACTCTTAGTACAAGAAATATGTAGTTTGGTATGTTTATGTATATTATTAACGCTGACAAACTGGTAGAATAAAATATGGAAAAACAGCTTTTAGAATACTTTCCCTGCATGTAAAGTGGTGATTCTTTTTTTCGCGTCTATCCCATTGTGTGGGGCATTGTTGTAGGTCAGGTTCAAAAACCTTTTTCAATTTAGGCATAAGTTTGGAAAATATTAAGTTTTAAGGGCTATCTTTTCTTAGAGTCAAGTATGCCTCCACCCTGCCAGATAAATGCTAATTCTTGAATATGTGAAAAAAATCCCAGAATAAGTATAAATAATGAAGCTAATAGGAAAGTTATTACTACTAAGTATGCTATTTATCGAGTAATACAATTTATAAAATGTACTTGGAAAAGAAAAACCAAAACTTCGTACGAATTGCATTCACAATTACTTATATGACGTTGTTGGTTGTGTAAAACAATGTTTATGAACCATGTAAAATTATTTAATTATATACATACACACACGCACGCACAAACAGACACACACATATATACATATAGCTCAAACTACTGAATCTACTCTTCAAATTTTGTTCCGAAGTTCCTATTACAATGTAGGCGAGTTCTAAAAATATATATTTTGGAATGTAACCCTTAAGAAGGTGAAAATGGTAAAATAATATTGTATGGGAAACCGAAACCGTTGAAGCTAAAATATCTAACTTTGATTTTAGTTATTTATAGAAATAAAAATAATACACATTGTTTCTTTAAGTAATTCTTGAGAGGGTAAAGTAGGGGATGTAATGTACTACTAATAAAAAATAGTAGTTCTTAAAAGTAAGGCTAAAAGGGGTGAAATAATAGTTGAAATAATTTAACATACGAAATGTATCATAATGTTAAAAGTACTTCTAAGAACGTGAAATAAAGAACGGTATATTGTAAGTGAAATCGAGACAGCTATGTATTTTAGAGGTCATCATCATGACTGGAATCTCCGATTTCGACATAAAGGAATTAATTTTATGTTTACGCGAGAGGCGCGCTGACGAAAGCTAGTGGGAATATAAAATCGTAACATTTTTAACATCTGTCGTATATGGGTTAATTTTTGGATCTTATAAGACGTTAAACCGGGAACTCAACTAATAGGTTCATAGTATCAAAGAAAAAGCCTCCTTCTAAGTCCGTATATTTATGATGGGCAACTGCGGACCCTACGTTTTTTTTATTATATGTGCAAGAATTTTGATATCCTTTTTCATTATAAGTTTCATTATTTTTATGATTTTTCAAATTCGTCGTTTTTCATCTCGAACTTGGATCAGGGCGAACGTTTTTCTCTTCGATAATGACGAAAAAAAAGCATACTACTTCATTAATATTATACTCTAATTTGATAACTGTGTATTATAGACACAAAAATATTTACAAATTTACGGAACATAAAAGAGGTTCTACGACCTTTCTGAATGTCTTTGTAAAATAAAATTATGTAGGTACGATAAGAAAAGGCAATAATGTAAGCATTTCTCACACTAAGTTAATATTTATATGAGCTGTACTGTAATATTATCGTATACATGTGTAAAACCGTTCTCATGGTTTCATTAAAAATTAAAATACAACTTACCGTTTTTTAAAATTTCATCTTGGTCAATTTCAGCGTTTCCACTATACATTATTGTTTGGAAATGGTTTATTAAAAAACTGTATCTTTCGTCTGACCATATGACCAAGCGCTCATTGGAAACCCACTCTCGGCATGCGACAAACTCTCCACGCGTGCAACGGCTAAGTGATCGTTGAAACAGTGTACGCATCGACGTAGCGATGTACCTACATGTTGCGCAATGTGTGCAACCATGAAATCTGTTTACCTTGAAGATTGAAATGCGAAAACTGTTCGACATTTTAAAGCTGTTTAAATAAAGCCGGCCAACCGCGAGTTGGACTCGCGCACCGAAGTATGCGTAGTTCAATACAATATATTTGTATTAAATACTTAAAAGAAATTAATTTAATTAATTCATTCGCGTATTCCTAGCACGAGCCCCACTCATTTATTGCTTTACTAAATAAACTGATGTGTATTAAATATGCACCCACATACTTAGCAAGTGTCAGGTTATACTGGATACTGAAACGAACCAAGACGTAACAAACCATAGACTTTCCATAGAAGTAAACAATTTTAAAATTATTTACTTTAAAATGATCGAAAAAAATTGAGAACCCTCACGATTAGTACTTTCGTTTGATATGTCACATGTTGGTTTCATTAGAGTTCGCAAGACTTTTGTTTAAATTTTCTAATTTACATCCAAGAGTGCCTTCATATTCAAAATCCATTTATTTAATTTACGTTACATGACCGTGTTTGGGTCACAGTCGAGTATACGTATAATAAATGTCAGCTTAATCAGTCCAGTAGATTCAGAGTAAACTGGCTGACAGGACATACACAGAAATGCACGATTACATAAGGAATGTGTTTTTATTCATTTTAAAGTTCGAAATTCTAAGAAAAACATGTCCATACAATATTGTAGATACAATGTAATGTAACTTATTAAAGAGGATAAAGTGGTAGTATAAATTTGCAATAAATAAATATAATTTTAAAAACAATATATATTTAGTAGTGTTACGGACGACGATATAAAAGAATAGTTTGAATTAGTTGGATTTTATAGATATGAAAGTTATCACAAAAAGAGAATGTAAATATAGGCCTAGTTCACATAGGATAGTAATAAATATATGTACGTTATAAGCGACCGTGTCCCTAAAGTACATTATTATTGTAATTTGTAATCGTATTAATTAACATATCGACTTGTATGTAACATAACGCAGGGAATACACATTTGAATAACGTATGATGCAATAGCGTAAAGTATTGCATCTTCCTCGCGCGAGCGAGACGGAAATATTTGACAGGTAGAGTGGGAATAGGTGAGGCGGACACCCAGGATAGAGTTCGGGTAAACAATAAATAATCGTTATTGTTATGTGTTTCCATTATACCTGAAATGTAGAATGAACATATTCGGTTCATTGCTGAACCAAGGCTGTCAGTATGTCCTGTGACGTATTGGACAGATATATCCATGCCGTTGGTAGCAGGCGGAATCATATGGCTATATGACCCGAAAATTAGCTGAATTAGGCATTTAGGGCATACAGTCAGCTCGCTACCACACACACGGAGAATATAAAGGACAAAGGTTGAGATAGAAATAAAGGAAGGATGGGATAAGCACATTATACGGTGTCCTCACGCAACCTGTTATAGGCGCTCTATAATACGGACACGGCCTAGAATTATAGTAATTGTTTTGTATATTGTATTGTTCTATTTATTTTAAATAATTGTTAGATATTATAATTGTGTAAATAAATATTAAAGCTGATCTCCTGCAGGGGGCGCCCATTGGCCGCATGGTGGAGGGGGTAATACACCCCCACCTATATAAGTCGGAACACTTCCGGAAGGAATTGTATGATATGCGACTTTGAGCGTCGCGAGGAGGGCGGATAAGTTCCGGAAGTCCGGAATAGCCGCCGGATGGACTTTAAG